AGAGCCTTAAAGATGAGAAAAATAGTGGCCAGCCACTGGAAGCTGACAAGGACAATTGAGAGCCATCATCAAAGCTGACCCTCGTATGAGAAGAACTCAACGTCAACCATTCTGTGGTCGCTTGGCACTTGAAGCAAATTGGAAAGGTGAAAAAGCTCAGTGAGTGAGCGCCTCATGAGCTGACCAGAAATAAAAAAACCAACTCATTCTGAAGTGTCGTCTTCTTTTATTTTATGCAACAACAAACCATTTCTCAACTGGATTGTGACATGTGGCTAAAAGTGGATTGTATACGACAACCAGCAATGACAAGCTCAGTGGCTAGACTGAGAAGTACTTCCCAAAGCCAAACTTGCACCAAAAAAAGGACATGGTCATTGTTTCGGTGGTCTACTGCCTGTCTGATCCACTACAGCTCCACATATCCCACCGAAACCATCACATCTCTGAGAAGTATGCTCAGCAAATTGATGAGACACACCGAAAACTGCAGCTGGCATTGGTCAACAGAAAGGGCTTCTATCAAAAAAAGATAGATCAACAGAAATTCTTCACGACAACAACACCCAACTGCATGTTGCACAACTAATGCTTCAAAAGTTGAACAAATTGGGCTATGAAGTTTTGCCTCATCCGCCATATTCACCATTTTCAACCGACTACCACTTCTTCAAGCATCTAAACAACTTTTTGCAGGGAGAATGCTTCCACAACCAGCAAGAGGCAGAAAATGCTTTTCAAGAGTTTGTAAAAAAAAAAAAAAAAAAAGAGTTTGTCAAATCTCAAAGCATGAATTTTCATACTATAGGAATAAACAAACTGATTTTTTGTTGGCAAAAATGTGTTGATTATAGTGGTTCCTATTTTGATTAATAAAAATGTGTTTGAGCCAAGATATAATGATTTAAAATTCACGGTCCAAAACCATAATTACATTTGCATCAACCTAATTTGCACAATGAATATAATCAGCCCTTATATCCTTGGTTGGTTGAATCCAAGGATGTGAAACTCACTGATATGGAAGGTCAAATGTATTTGCAAATGATATATCCAGTAAGAGATTAATATCCAAAATATACAAAAAAACTCTTACAATTTAACATCAAAAAAACCAAACAATCCAATTAAAAAATGGATGAAGGACCTAAAGAGACATTTTCCCAAAGAATACATACAGGTGGCCATGAACAGATGAATAGACACATGAAAAGATAGTAATTATCACGGAAATGCAAATAAAAAACTAGTGAGAAAAAAAAAATCATAGTGAGATACCACCTCCTGTCAGAATGGCTAACATCAAAAAGACAACAAACAATAAGTGCTGGTCAGAATGTGGAGAAAAGGGGACACTTGTGCACTGTTGGTAGGACTGTTAATTCATGCAGCCACTATTGAAAACAGTACGGAAGTTCCTAAAAAAAATAAAAAATAGAATTACCACAGGATTCAGCAGTTTTACTTTTCGGGTATTTACCTGATAAAAACACAAACACTCAAAAATAAACGTGCACCCCATGTTCACTGCAACATTATTTATTAATACAATAGGTGAGCTATGGAAGCAGCCCAAGTGTCCACTGATTGCTGAATGGTAAAGCGATGAGGTGCACACACAAGGGAATACCGGGGGTTTCCCTGGTGGCTCAGACAGTAAAACCTGCCTGCAGTGCATGAGACCCAGGTTCAATGCCTGCGTTAGGAAGGTCCCCTGGAGAAGGGAATGGCTACCGTACAAGGTAATGTTAATCAGCCATTAAAATAATGAAACCTTGGATTTCCCTGGTGGTCCAGTGACTAAGAGTCCACCTGCCAATGCAAGGGACATGGGTTCAACCCCTGGTCTGTGAAGATTCCACATGCCATGGGCAACTAAGCCCATGTGCCTCAACTACTGAGCCCGTGTGCCACAAATGAAGCCTGCATGTCTTAGAGCCCATGTTCTGCAACAAGAGAAGTCACAACAATTAGAAGCCCACGCACCATAGCTAAGGAGTAGCTCCTGCTTGCCACAACTAGAGAAAGCCTGCTCGCAGCAACAAAGACCCAGCACAGACAATAAATAATTTTTTTTAAAGGTCCACATCAAATTTAAAAAACCTTTAAAAGAAAAAATGAAATCTTGCCACGTGCGACAACATAAACGGATTTAGAAAGTATTATGCTAAGTCAAATAAGCCAGACAAAGATCACATTTATATGTGGAATCTAAAAAACAAAATAAGCAAACAAAATGAAAACATACTAATATATACAGGGAATAGACAAGGGTTGCCAGATGGGTGAAATAGGTGGTAGTGGTTAAGAAGTACAAACCTCCAGTTATGAAACAAGCAACTCAATGGAGATGTAATACACAGCATAAAGAATATGGTCCATATAATACTGTAATAACTGTATGAGGACAGATGGTTCCTAAACTTATCATGGTGATCATTCCACAACACACGCAAATGTCAAAGCTCTACATGATATACCTGAAACTTAACACAAATGAACCCTTCAAGTTGCGACCTTCCAAAGATGTGATTGTGTGTTCATGTGTCCACTCTCATAAGCTAGTTCACCTGTCTGGTGCACTCTATCATGTGAGTACCCCCTCTACAAGTGGTTGCCCTTCTGTGTACTTCACTGTACAGTAGTGGATAGAGTACAGTATTTTTATTTCAAGCCCAGGATGTTCAGAAGCAAGTACAAAAGCAGTGGTGATATAGGTGGCATTGCTACCAGTCCCTGTATGCCAGCTGTTGTACTGTGCTACTCTGCTTTTCAAGGTACTGTACTGTAAAATTAAAACTATTTTTTTGTGTGTGTCTGTTTATGTAGTATTTGTGTGAAAAGTATTACAAACCTGTTAGTACAGGTTGTGTACTATACAGTCAGTTGTGTTAACTGGGTACCTAGGATAACTTTGTTGGCCTTAGAATAAATTGGACTTGCGAATGTGCTCTTAGAACAAAAGTCATTTGTTCGTAGGGGACTTACTGTATTGTTATGTCAACTACAATTCAACTAGGAATTCCCTGACAGTTGAATGGTTAGGACTCAGTGCTTTCACTGAGTTGTGGCCTGGGTTCAATCCCCAGTTGGGAAACATAAGATCCTACAAGCCGCACAGCATGGCCAAACAAAATTAAAAAAAAAAAACACATAATATTTCAATTAAAAAAAAGAAAAAAAAAAAAACAGGCTGAATGGCCTGGACACCAGAGAAAGGAGGTGGCAGGATTTGTTGTTAATTGAGAGAAGGGACAGCTTTATAACCAGCATACCTATTGAAGGCCCTGGGCTGCCTGGCCTCAGCAGTCACAGCCTCCACCCTTCATACACCCAACGAAGCCTGACACGTCATTTGCTCTCAGCCTCATCGCTGTCTAGGAAAAACCCTGATATCAACTAGTCACTGACAACTGGGGTACTTCTAGGGATTGACCTGAAACCTGGAGCAGTTCCTCAAGGCTTGCTTCCTCCACCTCATTCAGGCCTCTGTTCCAAGGTCACTCCCACAAATAGAGACTCCCTGATTACCTTTGCCAAAAATAGCTTCCTGTCAACTCCAACCTTCACCCTGGTCCACATGTTTAACGGTTCTTCGAACACTGCCTAATCTTTCACCATATATTCATTGTCTCCCTCACAAAAACACAAGCTTATGTGGGCAGGGACTGTTTTATTAGTCACTGCTGATCCCCAGCACCTAGAACAGGGCTTGGTACCCAGTGTGAGCTGATTAAATTATCTGCTGAATGAACGGAAGAAACAAACTTCACAAAAATGACGACTTAATGTTGTGGCATCCACCCTGGTGGTCTTGAGCCTACCTGTGAGACCAATTTTGTTAATAACTTGCTGTGTGGCTTTGGGCAAATCACTTCACCTCTCAGGGGCCATACTGACTCACTCCTTAAACAAGGAAGTGGATCAAGCAAGGACAAAAGCCCCTTCCAACTCTACAGTCTGCAAAACACAGATCTGATTATCCTCCCCAAGGCAACTTGTTACTAGCCACAGGTGAATTCAGATTTACCTCGGATCAAGACATTTTTTACATGGTCGTTGATTCTACTCAAGAAGTCTCTCTTCTAAGCTGAATAAATGTAAATGGCATTTGGAAACACCGTCTGACAGGAGCACAGTGTTGTTCTGAAAGGAACAACTCCACAGACCCAGAAGGCAGAGGGATGGCCACTTTCCCACATTCTTTGGGGCACCAAGATCCCACAAGTCATCGTGGGAAGATGGGGCCTGCCCTCTGAAGGGGATGGACCAGTGGATGGCGGGAGGAAGAGAACTTACAAGTGGTTGTGGAGAAAGCAGGAGTCCTGAGCCCTGAAATCGAGACCCCGCAACCCTCAGTTCTGCTTTTTTCAAGACATCAAACCACCACCTCTAGGGTCTGCCTCCCGCCTATGACTCCCCTCATCACTAATGGGGGCACAGTATCTTCCGTCTGGAAGTCCTTCTCAGACTTCTATGTCCTGGGCGAGACCTTCCTAGATTTCCTTGGAAGCCAAATTTCAGGTTCTCAAAGGATGCCTGGACTGTTACCTGGGATTACCTTGACCCTCCTCTATCCCAAGTCACCTCAGAAGGGAGCGTTCAGGCTGAAGTTCCCAGCGCTGAGCCCTGAGGAGCTAGAAGCTATAGGACCCACTGGCCGATCTGGCGGCGTCCCCAGAGATTCCCAAAAATGACATCTTGAAAACCTAATGAATTTGGGGACCCTATTGCTCGTGAAAGAGGCAACTCTCGGAGTACCCTGAGCGGAGTCCTAGGCCTCTGGCTGTCACCAGAGATACCTAGTAAGGTACGGGGCGAGGCCCTCGGATCCCCTGAGACGCTAACAGCTTTGGGGGTCTTGCTGCTCGTGCGGAAGTCACGCCCCAGGTTTTGGAGGAGCGGCCGGCGGCGGCCCCCGCCCGCCAGGGTCGCGGCCCGTCAACTCAAGCTCGGACAGGAACCCGTGCCTCCTCCCTCGCGACCCAGCCCACGCTCACCGCCTTCTCCAGGTGGCTGCGCGCCTGCTCGGTGTTCTTGGTGTGGTGGTAGAGCACCGAGCCGAGCTGCAGATGTGTTCGGGCCTCAATGCGCTGAGGCGGCTTGAAGGGGAACACGGCCTGTAAGCAGTGCACGCACAGGCGGATCTTGGGCGGGCTGGAAGTGCGGAAGTGCTCGGCAAAGCCCAAGAGCGCCAGGTACCACGACTCAGCCGCCTCGGCCTGCGCTGCTTGGGCCGCCGCAGCCTGAGCCGCCGCCGCAGCTTGAGCCGCCATTTTAGCCTCCACAACAACAAGCCGCCGCCACAGGGAGGCGGAAACAGGCGCGTGGGGCAGGGCCGGAGCTCCTCGCCTTTCTCGCGAGAGCTGATGCACAAAGCATCCTGGAATATGTAGTTTGTGTTTGAAGTGACCGAGGCTCCAGGAAGGTCTGAGAAAAGCGACACTCTCTGGTCCGCGAAACTGAGACCACAGATTGCCGATGGGCTGAGGTTTGCGTCCCTGGGGGGAAGACCCCAGGTGTCCAAGCAATGGTAGGGCTTGGCTTGCCGAGGCGGACTACATCTCCCATCAGGCCACGCGCACTATAACAAGCCCCCCCCTCCGGTGGCGCCGGAGCATTGTGGGATTGGATGAGTCTCAAGATGGACAACCGGGATGTTGCAGGTAACAGCCCCCGCCTTCCCTCTAGCGTCCGCCTGGGACCTCCGGCTACGCGTCTTTGCTTCGCCATCCCGTCGGGCCTATCTCAACCCGTTGGCCCTTAGCCTCAGCCTCCAGGCGTCTGGAAGAGGCGGCTTCTGCACCACCCCAATCTCCTGGGACCCCCCCGAGACCCAGTTATCCTCCCCGCCCCCACCGCTGGTTTGGTGAGGACGCCAGGCTTTCCTCAAAGGCCACCGCCGGTATCTGCCCTGCGCCTGCTTTCCGAGCTAACCGCCTTAAGGGCTGCTCCAAGCTCCGCTCCCCGAGCCAGTGGCAACCTTCGGCTGTTCTGCGCCTCCTCTTCGTAGTAGCTCCTTCCTGGCCTCTATCCCACTTTCTGGAAAAGCTGCTTTTCCAAACTGCACTCTGACTCCCTGTACACATTTTTCTGGGTCTTTAGACCACCCCCCCCCCCCNGAGCCCCCCCCCCCCCCCGCCTTTTACCATAAACCTTGCCCTTCCCTCTCTCCTAGTTCTAGCGCCCCGAGACCGGTATGCATTCAACAAATATTCTTTATGTGCTAGGCACAGTGTTAGTTGCTGAGGATGCAGTGGTATCCAAAATGGGGTCGTGTCTTACTGAAGGTTGTTTTTACCGAGGCATCATGCAATGCACAAGGAGGAAATATTTACAGAGAGTTATAGTGACTTGAGAGAGTGGGAATGGAGGCTGCTGATATTGAGTGGTCAAGGAAGGCCTTTTTGAGCAGAAGACATTTGAGAAGAGAAGGTGCCAACTATTGGAAGGCAGAGCCTTCCATGGAGAGAGGAACAGCAAGTGCAAAGTCCTTGAGGGTTTGTTATTTTGAGGAATATCAGGGATGAGCTGGAAGTGGGAAGGGGGGTTATCTCTGTCAGGACCTTGAAAATCAGCTTTCAGAGTTTGGATTTTATTTTGAGCCCCACAAGGAACCTTCAAGGTGTCTTTTCTATCTCCACAACTACCACCCTTGTGTGAAGACACCATCATCTTTTGCTTAGAGCCAGTAAGCCTCCTGGTCGTCTCCTACTTACTCTGTTCAATCAGTAGCCGGAATGATCTTACAAATAAAAGTACCAGTTGGATCTTACAGCTTAATACTCCCCTGTGGCTTCTTAAAACCCTTTAAGTAAAACTCAGACTTCCTATCTTCTCCCACCACTCCCTGTGAGGCCCACCCCGGAACTGTCCCGTCTGACCACATTGGACCCTTGCTGGTCCCTTGGGCTTCTTGCTCTGCCCAGATCAGTCCCCCTGTGGCTTTTCAGGAAGCTGGCTCTTTATCTTTCCGGTTTTAGCTTAAATGTCCCCTCTTCTAACAGCTATTTTCTGGCTGCCTTAGCTCTATAGGTGTTCCTCTGTTATTCCTTCTCACCATTTTTGTATGTTTCCAGCAGAGAGCTCTTAATGATTTTGCAACTACTTTCTTCTTGTAAGTCTGTTGTATCCTCAGCCAGAGGTGAATCGCACATGAGCAGAGCTCCATCTGTCTTGTTTAGCACCAAGTACAGCACCCGGTGCCTAACTCAGTAAATGCTTGCTAAACAAATGAACAGATGTGTGAATGTGAATGAATGTCAATCTGAATGCCAGTTGCTGCAGGCAGCAGCATCTGGGCCGCACCGTGTAGCAGCTGCTGGGCATGTTTGTGGAGCGAAGGTGATTTGTTTCTTTTTTTTTTAATTTATTTTTTTTTGAGGTATAATTGAATTGCAATGTTGTGTTTATTATTACTGTACAGCATAGTGATTCAGTTATACATACATATATATACATTCTTTTCCATGTTCTTTTGCATTGTATCACAGGATATGAATCTCCTTGTCCGTACTGTACAGTAGGACCTTGTTGTTTATGTTTTCTATAAATATGAGTTTGTATCTGGTAATGCCAGACTCCTAATCCAAACACCAGCCTATTCTCTATGTCCCTGATTCTGTTTCTGTTTTATAGATAGGTGCACTTCTGTCATATTTTAGATTCCAAATAGAAGTGATTGTATGGTATTTGTCTTTCTGAATTACTTCACTGAGTATGATAATCTCTGGTTGTATCCATGTTGCTGCAAGTGGCATTATCTCACTATTTTTTATGGCTGAGTAATGCTCCATTGTACATACGTATGACGTCTTTTTCCCTTCATTCGTCGGTGGTCATTTAGGTTGTTTCTGTGTCTTGGCTGTTGTGAATAGTGCTGCTGTGAGCATAGGAGTTCATGTATCTTTTTGAATTATAGTTTTGTCTCGATACATGCCCGGGACTGTTATTGCAAGAGCATATGGTAATTATATTTTTAGTTTTCTGAGGAACCTCCATACTGTTTTCCATAATGGCTGCACCAACTTTCATTCTCACCAACAGTGTAGGAAGGTTCCCTTTTCTCCACATCCTCTCTAATATATGTTTTCTGTGGACTTTTTAATGATGGTCATTCTGAGTGGTGTGAGGCAGTACTTCGCTGTAGTTTTGATTTGCATTTCTCTCATAATTAGCATTGTTGAGCATCTTTTCATGTACCTGTCGGTCATCTGTATTTCTTCAGAGCAAAGGTGATTTCTGATGTACTTCTTTTCCCTCCCCAGGAAAGGCTAACCGGTGGTTTGGGGTTGCTCCTCCCAAGTCTGGAAAAATGAACATGAACATCCTTCACCAGGAGGAGCTCATTGCTCAGAAAAAACGGGAAATTGAGGCCAGAATGGAGCAGAAGGCCAAGCAGAATCAAGTGGCCAGCCCTCAGCCCCCGCATCCTGGCGAGTAAGTCTGCCCTGAGGCTGGGTTAGGGTCTTAGAAGGTCACCAGCAGAAGGTTTTGCTTGTGAGAGCAGTTGAGATGTTGCTGCGTCTGACTCCAGCCTGATGGTGCAAGGAGGGACACAGGTACACTCTTTTAGGAGGCTCAGTGGGGCAGGAGAGAAACACAGGGTGTGTGGGATCCCAGAGGATGGCTGCCACCTCTTTCAGTCCGTGGTTATTTACTGCTGACCATTTGTGGGCCAGGGACCACGAGTATAGCTTGAAGCAGAAACCCAGATTCCATCTCTGCCCTTATGGGGCTCACAGCCTACTAGCAAGGAGGAGTCCCAGTTATACTCCCAGAGCTGATGGTAGGTAACGTGAGGCATTGTGCTCCCAGATGCAGAAGAGACTCTGCATTCTGAAGGCCCGGGCAGAGCCAGCCCTTTGAGGATGCAGGAAAGAACTGCAGAGGCCTGGAAGGGAGGTGAGCCCCTGTGTGCCAGGCAACCCGAGCTGCTGCACCAAAGGGGCTGTTTCTGAGTCAGGTGAGAGGCAGCTTCGGCAGGGTTTCCTCCCGACTGTTCTGAGAAACTCTGTAGGCACCCAAGAGTTTTGAGCAGCAGTGATGTGATCAGGGTGGCAAGATCTCCATGCTGGAGACTTGACAGAAAGACAAGTCCCTTCCTCTGTGCTCTGAAATGTGGAGCATTTTCTTTGGCCACTAAGTCATGTTCAACTCTTTTGTGACCCCATGGACTATGCCCACCAGGCTCCTTTGTCCATGGAATTTCCCAGGCAAGAATACTGGAGTGGCTTGCCATTTCGTTTTCCAGGGGATCTTCCCAACCCAGGGATCGAACCCGGGTCTCCTGCAGGTGGATTCTTTACCACTGAGCCACTAGGGAAGCCCAGGAGCATGTTGGCCCTGCACTAAAGCTTTGTTTCAGCGCCCACATTTTCTAAGAGTCCGTGGCTTCTCCCCAAGGGAGAGACTCCCCTAACAGTGACTACTCCACTTTCTGTCTGGGTGGATTTACCTATTTTAGATGTTTGATGCAATTGTGGCCTTTTGTGTCTGGCCTCTTTCACTGGACATAATGTTTTCAAGGTTCATCACTTTGTAGCTGTGTCAGGACTTCACTCTCTTTTTTTTTTTTGACTGAATAATATTCTGTCATGTGAATGGACCATGTTTTGTTTATGTGTTCATTAAGATCCATCATCTAACACCTGTGTAATACCCCCTGTTATTTGTTATGGGTGGTTTTCATGTGGGATTCATTTGCTGGCATGCCACTGCCCCAAAGTGGGTTTGTTTGGTGTTTTTTGAAAGCCATTATGCAGCTTGCGCAATCTCAGTTACCCAGTCAGGGATTGAACCTGGGCCCTCGGCAGTGAACGTGCAGGGTCCTGACCACTTGATGCCAGGGAGTTCCCTCCCCAGTGTTTCCTCGTCTTCCATCGTCCCTGCCTCCTTCCTGTCCCTCCTGAGGGAGGCGTACACAGCACCAGGACAGGGCCAGGGTCACTGGAAGGCCCTCTTGTTTAATGCCAAGGCTGGTTATCAGTGGATCTTTCTCCCACATAAAACCACCTTTGTTGCCTTCTCTCGTAACTTTAAAGATACTTCATATATGTGGTAGAAAAACTGGGAAATAGAGGAAAAAAATAATATCATTGTAACCCTGCAGCTTGCGGCAAGTGCTGGTTGCTTTTTGATGGGTTTTTGTAAACTTTTTCTGTCAAATACATGTTGACATAAATAGGACCACACTGCAGATATGTTTTACACCTTGGTTTTTTGTTTTTCACTGACCGTTGTGCTTGGTTGTTCTGTTTATAAAACTTCAGCTCTCCAGGACCACCCCATCTGCCCTGTGGATGTCCTGT